ATGCAGGCCTTTTTTTTTTTTTTTTTTTAATAGAAAGCAGACCTGGCAAACCAGATGGGAACAGTGGTTCAGGCTTCTCACCAAATGGGCAGTTTTTATTGCTTCATTCCTACTCCTACACAGCCAACTAATTGCTGTCTTTGGCAAGTGCACATAACTCATGTTTAACAGAAATGCCCTAAGGACTAAATGTTGGCATAGAAGCTACTTTATGTATTGCTATGCTGACAGCATCCCTCATCTCTGATGTAAGCCAGCAGATGCAGGAACAACCCCCGTTTATCCTCTGTGGTGCACACTATCTAGCAAGCGCACAATGCAAATCAATACATGAAAGGGTGTTACAGCGCCGATTAGTGTGAAAAATGTTCATTTAACTGCAAACTTTTCATACATTAGTGTTAAGGGGTGTGTCAGAAGTGAGTGATATTTGCTGTCATGAGTTGTACCACCTTGCTTTGCAGTGAAACATACAGTATATTTAGTCAGCTAATATGGATTATGCTCATATGTTCTGTTTATAATCTTTTCTTCATTTGTTCACTTATTAACATTTGTTCTTTCTCTTCTTTACTAAAGGTGGCCATACACTCTACAACCATCGCAAGACTTTAGTCTTGCGATGGTTGTAAAGGGATTAAAAAAACGTACGATCTGCCTATCTTGGACAGGCAGATCGCACTCTCGATCATCGCAAGCCCGCCCTCCTGAGGGGCGGGCTTCCGATGACCGCAATGCTGAACGGGCAGTGTGCGCGTGCGCACACCGGCCCGTTCAGCATTTATCTTCCGAGCACCGTTCTAACCAGCCGAGAATCGTACGATTCCCGGCTGGTTTTCGAACATGCTGGTTCGACAGAAGACGTGCGACCGTACAGTAGAAACGGTCGCACGTCTCCGTTCACACTGCTCGATTATCGTACGAAAACCCGATCGCATACGATTATCGTACGATAATCGTGCAGTGTATGGGCACCTTTATGTGTGTCCTGGATGTTCCCAGTACAAATTGGAGGCATGATAAAAAAAAATTACAATGACATGAAGAGCACCTTGTGTACTTTTAACCCCTTCGTGACTGACGATGTACAGTGTACGTCGCCAGCATCGGGGCTGTTTAAACAGACTCCCGGCGACTTTTGCCGCCGGGAGTCTGTTTAAACTTGTAGAGCCGACTGTCGGCTTTACAACAGAAGCGATCCTGGCGACTTACCTGTCACAATCTCATGCAGTGAAATAAAAAAAAGTTACTTTGTTATAGGACTGGATGTTTGATGTGAAGCCTGGTGCACCTCAATTTATACTTTAGGAACTCAGGCCCATAGACCATTTTATACCAAGCTCTGTACATGGGTGTTTTACTGATTGACAGAAAAATCAACTTAGAAAAAGAAGTATGTTATTATGAATTGCAAACATATAAATCACGATATTATGCAAAGCACAAAATTAGCATGTGCTAGTTTTTTTTATATTCTCCATTGTTGGCATATGTCTACACTACATGGGCACATGAACCTTGGTGTAATTCTTGAAGGGGGTAGTTAAGAGAATGCAATATGAATTCAAGTAAGCCAGAAATTAAAAGTGAGGTTTTTTTACAGAGCATCTCCCACAAACATACAGTATATGTGATGAACTGAAAGATATGGGTGCATAAATAAAAGCACCACCCCACAAGCAAGAAATCCATTTGGCTAATGAAAGGTATACAGATGCTTCTAAAAGTGACCTCTGCGCTTACTCACACAATGACTCAGTCATTCATCTAAAGTCTTATAAAGTCATG